TATCCAATGTTATTGTTGTCATGGGGCTTCCATGGTGGCTCAGATGGTAAAGAACCTGCCTACAATGAGGAGGCCTGGGTTCCATCCCTGGGTTGGGAAGGTCCCCAGAGGAGCCTGGTGGGCTGCAGTCTGTGGGGTCACAGAGTCAGACACAGCTGAGTGATACACAGACAACGCACACAAGGGCATGGTTCCCAGTGTTTTGGGGAATGTGTTCCTGGCTCATGAAGTACAAATGTATGGGAAACTGTGGGGCAGAAGGTGGAGAAGCGCAGGGCAGAGGAGAGGAGCCCTGGGGTGACGTCGCTTATAAGACTCCTTTCCCTTCTTGGGGCCCTTTGTCTCCAGCTCTGCTCTGAGAATCTGGGACCAGATGATTGCCCAGTCCCTTCCAGCTGCAGCATTCTCTGAGAGCTCTGGCCGCATAGCTCTAATTACTAAATATCAGCGAGGATTTGGGTTACAGACCCAATGGGTCTTGCTTATCCCATTCATGGAGAAACCCAGAGCAGACAACTTAAGGAAATCTGAAACAGAATAACCACCGAAGCAATCCAACAGCTGCTAAATAGATGCTTAGACAAGCCCATCATAAAATGTACTATGGTATGTCATAATGGTTGGGATACCAATCAGAAAGTTCTATCTTAAGTACCATTGACTTAGTCACATTGTGTTTGCAAAACAGGCAGTGAACATCTGTTTATTAAAAAAAAAAATGCCTCTTTCATTCTTTCCTTTATCTTTCATCCTTTTATAAATTCCTGGGGATACATTTAGCTCGATCCATCAAGCCCATAGTGCCATTTTGAAGAGGAAGCCTATGAATTATTTTCTTAGTGCATTAAAAGTGCTATAAAGTGATGTGCCAGTTGACCACAGAACCTTAGTCCCTGCCTTGAATGTAATAGGTAGTCAATAAATATTTGGTAAATAAATACCTTTTAAAAGATGTACTAGCATTCTGATTTTTATCACATTATAAACATATCTAGCAGCTACTCTCGTTTATTTTTTTTTTTAACAAAAGTCAAATTTGCCAACGGGGTGTCTTACATAGCTACTGTACACTCTACTCTGTGCTTCTGGAATTGTCAAAACAAACCTAACTGCACTTAGGAACTCCGATCTGATATCACTGTCAAAATGTTTTACAATGATTTGGCCAAATGTTTGTGGAACAGCTGTGCTACTAGTCTGCCTGAGTCATTTTTCTTCTTTCATTTTGGCCCGATCCAGTGATTCATTATTCTGCTTTTAGAATATTTGCCTATTTTTAAAACCAGTCAGAGAAGGCAGCCACTGTTTAAAAGTAAACACACCACACATCAACTTGGAGCAGCTTTGTAAGCAGCTTTGCAAGCCCTGAAATTTCCGGCTGGCAGGGATGCCAGCTAAACCAGATGGCATCAGGCAGTGAAATACAGGACTGGCTTTCAAACACGGTCGATTCCTTACATCTGTCTTTGCTTTTCTTGTTTCTGCTGTCATTTCCTGCTTGGATTAATCCAGCCCGATCCATTCCTTAACAAAAATCTTGCCTTTATTTTCTAAAATATTTTTTATGTGTTTATTTCTATGTCAATCAATCAGACTTTTTTTTCCCCCCAACTCTAGGATTCAATCTTAAGCCTTTTCTTGTCTGCAAAATTGTCAACTTGGTTCCATATATGTGCTTCTATCATATAGTGTATCAATAATGAAAGATTTTTATAATGGGCTTTATTAATCCTGAGTCACGCCAGATATTTGCTATTTATTATAGTAATAAAGATGAATAATTCCCCTCTCCCCTTTTTATAGTTAAGCAGGAAGGAGCGTGACTTCACAGGAGCAAGGTGGATTAAGTCCCAGGAAGCCTTGAGTTCCATTCCTGGGTTGTCTTTTAGAATTCTAGAATGCACTGTCTGCTCTAGTACTTCATAGGAGTGGTTTCTCCTCCTAACAAGTGCCTGTTCATCTATGACTATTAGGGTTGGGGTGCCAAAGAAGAATACTTTGGTTCCCATTTACCCATGCCAAACAGTGTTCCTGGCCTTGAGCTCAATGAGCCGAAATAATCATGATTTGGGTTCTTGCTGATGTTTAATCTCTGTGCGGGGCTTCCCTGGTGGCTCAGGGAGTAAAGAATCTGCTTGCGGTGCAGGAGGCCTGGGTTCTCTCCCTGAGTTGGGAAGATTCCCTGGAGAAGGGAGTGGCAACCCACTTCAGTATTCTTGCCTGGAGAATTCCCTGCAAAGAGGAGCCTGGCGGGCTACAGTCCGTGGGATCGCAAAGAGTCAGACACGACTGAGTGACTAACACTTTCCTCTTTGAGTTATGAATGTTTTACTGGAGTAAACTTAAATGCACCTTAAACCAAAATCTGTTTTACAAACGATAGGTTTTATAATAAAGGCTACCTCCAAAGAGCCAATAGAAACAAGGACTATTTCTTTTTTAAAAAAATCCTGTTTTTTGTCCAATTCTTTGCAAATGATGAGATGGATTGAAAAAGCCTCAAAATATTGGGCAGAAGTTGTCACTTCTGAGTAGGAAGAGCCCATTCCAAGGGTCAGGGGACTGACTGTCCTCATTTCATGGTGAGATGGCCCTCCAGCCTGCAGCGAGGGGCTTGGGAAGAAGGTCCCCCCCCCATTTGTAGTTGCTCTCTGAAGCTGCAGAGCGTCAGTGGACCTGGGGGCTGTGTCTGGTAGGTACAGGAGCAGATGAATTCACCGTTGGGACCACACTGTTATTGTCTGAGGCCACTCTTAAGTGGGGGTATTTTTACACTTCTGTTGTTGTTTATTATACCCTTGGCTAAAGTGTACCAGATGCTCTTGAGGCATTTGGCAGGGATGAATCCTGTCCTTGTTTGAATTATCTTCCTGGTGATTATCTTTGGTGCTGTGGAAGAAATGTAATCCCTCGGAAACTCAGAACTCTTTGTCTGGAAGAAAGTAAAAGTCATTCTTTGCATCTGACTCTTTGCGATGCTGTGGACTATACAGTCCATGGAATTCTCCTGGCCAGAATACTAGAGTGAGTAGCCTTTCCCTTCTCCAGAGGATCCTCCCAACCCAGGGATCAAACCCAAGTATCCAGCTGGATTCTTTACCAGCTGAGCTACATGGGAAGCCCATACTCTTTGTCTACTGCATTTTATTTGGATTGTGTTGTCAACAAGTGGATAGAGGATGCTGCCTTCTGCATTGTGTATGGACCATATCCCTTCTTGAGTTTCAAATAGAACTTCAACAGTTTTTATAAATGAATTTTGTTATGGTAGTGAGAACATTAAAAAAAACCCAGGATCTTTCTTTCTTATAATTTAAAATAGTTTTGGCTTTTCAGTTATTCGTTTAGCTTGTATTTCATCTTATTCTCATAGTCATACCTGGGTTAGGTGTTGTCAGCAGGAAGAGGACTGGAAATGAATGGTGAGTGGACCCACAGGGCCAGAGATACAGAGGTTCTGCTGACGAGAGGGCTGTCTTTTCGTACCATGGCTAAAGGTCAGAAGTATGTTCTTTAAAAAAAAAAAATCTTTAAAGACAGTCTTTATTAATGCCAAAATTGCTTTGTTAAGGCTCAACCAGAACCACTACACTTCTATCTTTTTTAAAAAAATATATTTTTCAGTTCAGAATTTTCTCATTTTTTGTTCGTTTATATTTTATGTATTAATTATTTTTGTCCACACCTTGAGGCTTGTGGGATCTTAGTTCTCTGACAAGGAATTGAACCCGCACCCCCTGCATTGGAAGCTTGGAGTCTTAGCCACTGGACTGCCAGGGAAGTCCCCCATAGTTCTGTCTTTATCTGTACAGAATAATAGAATGAACACCAACAGCTATTCACTACTCTAGATCCCATAACTCTTTTAAACTTCCTAGTGAGGGTCAAAATGCTCTATTTCAAGATCATATTGTTCTTGAAAAGCACTTTCTTCTGACTATATGCACAGCTTTTCTTACCATGTGAGTCCAACTGGCATGAATTCTTTCAGAAATTCTGCTGTAGAAAACATTTCCTCTTGCCCAGTGATTGCCTGGTACAATTCCCATAGTCTTTTTGTCTAACGAAGTCAGCCTTATTGCTACGGCAAGGATAGCAGCAGCAGATTCTTGAAGAGATTGGGGTAAACCTCTCAGGTATCCTCTGATGCTTCTGTGGGCCTCCTCTTTTGATCCAGCAGCACCTGCCTATTTTTAATGTTTTTGGCTGTACTGAGTCTTCCTTGGGGAGCTTGGGCTTTCTCTAGTTGCACTAGAGAAACGTGGGTTTTCTCGTTGTGTCTTGGGCTTAGTTGTCCCCGTTGGCATGTGGGGTCTTAATTCCTTGACCAGGGTTTGAACCCACGTCCCCTGCGTTGGAAGGTGGATCCTCAGCACGGGGCCACTGGGGAGGTCCCAATACCTGCTATTGCCGCCAGCCAGGGAGGGTAGCTGAGGGCAGAGTTGTGGGCTCTCCTGCATCAGGGCAGCGGGTTGGACGTCAGGTTGGCATTGCTGCCCTGGGACGCCCTGATTGGGTGGCCGCCTGTAACCTAGACGACGGAGCTCTGGTCACCTGCCTGGCAGTGGTGGTTTGTGGTAAGCGCAGAGGGCAAACCCATCAAAGCTGGCCGCTCTTGGAGTCTTTCAGGACAGAAGTAACACTTCTCTTTTTCACTCACACGTTCTTCTGTTCTATTGAGGTTGTCCTGGTCACCTCATTATCACCTTGTTAAATAAAGCACTTTCCTGCATATCATATTTTTTGGTTTTGGCTAACGTCAGAGTATTGAAAGACAAGCAGTGTTTCTTCACTGGAGAACTACCAGACTGAGCATTTGAGGATTGTGCTTGCAAAATTTTGGGACAGAGAGAGCACAGTGTATCAAAAATGAGCAAAATTGCCTTCTGCATTCTTTCTGTCCCTTACTAATGTATACAGGTCCAAAGATGGCAAGAGCAGGACAACTCTCCCCAGAGAAAGGGCTCTCATGGTGAAGAATTTTTATTTTCATGTTTTAGATGATACACCACCTGAAGATGCCATTCCTCTGGCCTTTCCTGAATTAGAGCAGCAACTACAGGTAAGCGTTTTTCTATAGAGTCTTTCACTTTTCCTCCTTAGTTTCATAAAATACAGTGAATGGAAAAGTCATCTAATTGGGAAAGACTGATTTGTAGACAGAGTGGAGATTTCACATGATCAAGGTGTTAATTTCTAGGACTCCATGGTCACGGACTCTCAGGTAATGTCCCTGTCTGTTTATCTGGCTATCACATAAGATTATTAAGAACTCCGGGTATAAACAAGTTCCTACATTAAAAAAAAATTTATTTATTTGAACTGAAGGATAATTGCTTTACAATGTTGGTTTCATTTCTGCCATATATCAGCATGAGTTAGCCACAGATGTACACATGTCCCCTTCCTCACAAACCTCCCTCCCACCTCCCACCCTTTCCTCCCACCCCCCAAGTTGTTATAGCAAGCTCCTCCTTTGAAGGAGTTTTGGGGGGTGGGGATGGTCTGGTCCCTGCTCTCCTTGCCTGTGGATGTTTCTGGGCCATTGCAGTTTTGGCCCATGGTGGGTTGGTGATTTAGTGATAAACTACAAGGGAGACTTGCCATGTGTGGCAAGATTCAGAATAATCTTCCTTTCTCTACTCCACCCTTATCTCCTCCCCAGTTCTCTGAGAATTCTGTAATTATTTTAAGTTAAATCTTCTGAATACTTTATGTACTTATGGAAAACACTAATGAACTTTTTGGCCACCCTGATATTTTGTATGCATAATTTATGGATGATCTATCAAAGATATCCTCTTTTAATACAGCAGAATTATTTGGAAGGAGCTAATTTATGACACATTAATTTTCTTCAGATGATGTATAATGATTTCAGAAAGATGACTTTAGGAAGAGGTTCTGCTGAAAATACTGGATACTGGCCTTGGGTCAGATGTTCTCTTGAGCACTTCACTTTGCAGTCACATTTAGACCAGTCTAGTAGGGATCTTGAATTCCATTACAGATATTTGTTTAGTCACCACTTTTTTTTTCTCTAAATACCAATTCTGAAATCTTTCACGGGGGAAGGGGGTCTACCACCTCCAGTTGGTTCCCAGCTGATGTTTCTTCTTGACTTATACTGGGTAGTTTTCCCACGTGTGGATGTGCCTGGTATCCTCATATCTTTTGAATTTGGGACACCTGGACCGCAACAGCCCTTGACAGAGGTGGGAAGAACCAAGAATGAGCCCTGTGCAACCCGAGATAGGGTCCTTTTTTTTTGTAATCTGGAAGCACCTAGGCTGGGTCTGAAGAGTGGTGCTCCGCTGCTGGGGTGGTGCCCTGAAAATGTACCCATGACATGTCCCCACCACTAGACATGGTGCTGACCCAACAAGTGTTGACAACATCAGGTGTGATCCGACCTCCTGGAGGAGCCCTTACCTCATCTCTGCACAGTCCTGGGCATCATCCCAGCCCTCCGATAGAAAGCCTGCCAACAGAGCCATATCAGTGATGTGGAGATTCCTGAAGGTGGTCCAGGAGGTGGGAGGTTATGACCACACAGCTGTCAAAAGACAGCTCCATTCTCCTCTAAAATGTCTTCTGCAGCTGTGACCTACAGTACCTCCTTCCTCTCCCATCCCCGTGTGGGGTCTTCATCCCAACTCTCCTGATTCCTGAGATATAACCACACCCCCAGCCTCTCTTCTCATCGTGGAGGACAGCTCAGCCGACCTCTGCCTTCCAGCCTGGCTTGCTCACATGACATACAACCACCCTTGCCTAGGCTCTGTCCTTCCAGAGGCCTATGTATGTGCTACTCGTGGTGTAGTTGGGATTGCAAAATAATAACTCTATTTTTTTTCCCAGTCACAACTTTTCTCCTTTATTTTACTGTTACCTCAAAGCTATTTTATTATCATAGGAGACAGCTGAAATTAAGGAGTTAACATGTTTTGAAAATAAAAGAGTGAATGTGTGTTCAGATTCTTATTCACCCATCAATAGTGTGGATCGTGAATTCTACTTTTTTGTATTGACAATTTTTTTTTCCTTTGGGAACATTAATGGTCTTCCCTGACTCGTGGATCATTCTTCACAGGATTCATAGCACCTCTGGAAGTTATCCAGATAATTCTTCTGTTAAAGTATTGCAAGATGCATTTGAATTTTTATAGCTTTAATCCCATTGACATGTATTAGAAATTAAGTCTATTTAGTTATTTAATCCAGTGAGACTATTTCATCTTCATTGAGCGTTAATGAATTAGTCGGTTGGGAGGCTGACTTCTGCTTCAGGGGTTATGATACCCTCAACTTTCCCACCCTAAAATATAGCATTACTTTTTCTTTTTTTTTTTAAAAGAGTTTTTGATGTGGAACATTTTAAAAGTCTTTACTGGATTTATTATAATATTGCTTCTGTTTTATATTTTGTTTCTTTGGCCATGAGGCACGCAAGATCTTAGCTCCCTGACCAGGGGTCAAACCCATATGACCTGCATTGGAAGGCAAAGTCTTAACCACTGGACCATCAGGGAAGTCCCTATAGTATTGTTTTACTACTTCATGACTAGAGAGAATGTTCCCAGCAGTACAGCTGAAAGCATTTAAACGAGGGCTTGTTTTTTGGGTGAAGGATCTGATTGAGTTTGTTATAAACATTTACCATTAGTTAAGCCATTTGGTTAGGTTTGCCTCTAAGACTGTTGTCTGTTACCTTTATTGTACACTCTAGGGTATGAGTGACTAAAATATGAGAAGGTAGAAATTGAGAGGGGAAAGATAGCACAAAGCTATATCTAAAAGCAGATTCTTATTTCCATGCTTAGCATAAGCATATAAATTTAAGCCACTCTGCAGCAGAAAGTCTCTATATTGAAAGCAATAAAAATGCTTTATGTATGAAAGGAACCATCGATTCTGTGGAGCAGGCTGTCTTTACAGTCAGTTCCTTGTGCTTTCATCACACAATAATAGCTCTTGGAATTTTACCGACCATCATAATCCTCTACAGAAGAATAAAAGTTAGGTTACAGAGGTATATGAAGTGCTTTGTGGTTGTAACCGTTTGCTTGAGGATGAACTGATTCTTACTTATCTCTGAAAAAGTGTAAGTTAAAGTTTCTGACTCTTTGTGACCCTATGGACTGTAAACTGCCGGGCTCCTCTGTCCACAGAATTCTCCAGGCAACAACACTGAAGCGGGTAGTGATTCCCTTCTTCAGGGCATCTTCCCAACCTAGCGATCTAACCCAGGCCTTCTGTACTGCAGGCAGATTCTTTACTCTCTGAGCCACCAGAGAAGCCCAGCCTTATAAATATGAAAAATAATTGATCCTAAGTGATGATTGCTAGCCCTACTCTCTACATACCCTCACATTTAAATCCCACCCATGCACATTGAGTGTTACTTGGACAAGGGGTGTTTCCCCACAAATTATCTCATTTGATCCTTGCAACATTTGTGCAAGCTATTATGTCTCCGCTTTAAGGATGAAACATGTGAGTCAAATTTTGGTCTACATAAATTTGCTATTTCTGACTAGATCTCTGATTCTGAATCTAGGTAACATTTTTTTCTTTTCAACTGTGGTAGAACCTATGGGCTGCTTAAATTACGTTGATAAGTGGAGAATGTTTGATTTGTGAGGTTGCTATACTGTGGTTATAGGACAGACTTGTAAAATCTGTTCTGACTTTCAGATGTCCATTAGACACTCTTTCATGGTTTATAAAATGCAGCTATAAAGTATTTGGTACTTACTCTACCACCAATTTGACCCCCAAGATTTTTCAGTTGCTTTGCCAAGAATCTGGACATGTTTGAGCATGTAATTCATGGTGTTTCTATTTTCATAGAAGCCAAAAAAAGCCTTGGGCAAGAATAGCAGTGACAAACATTTCTCTTGATGTCTCTATTAATGCGAAATATTGGGCAAGAGACCTTGGGGGTAAGGTAGGTGTTAAAACGAGCAACTCTATATAGGCCTCAGCCCAGTGGCAGATGGTAGGTTGGTTCTATTTTGTGTGGATTCCTTTCCTGGAACTTGGTTTCTAAATTCTTCATGTCCATTAGGGGCAGTGTTTAGGCAGAGCTAATTTAGACCATACTGTCAAAAGAAAGGAGGTTCAACTCTATATCCACTTGTAAGAATGAATGAAAAACAGGACTTTTCTTTAGGCCTCCATTTCCTTTTATTTGAAGAAGAGGTCGTGACTGACCTCCCTCTCTTTTCTGAAGGATGGCACAATCCTTTAACAGTCCCAGGGTCTGGTCAGAACCAAATTTGTCTTATTAGTAAAATTTAACCACATGGTTATGTTTTGGAGATTGTAGTTTGACCTATGGAAGATCCAAAGCTAAGCTTTGTGATCTTTATTACCCTGGGAAGATTGTGCTTTTATAATCAGGTGGAGGACATGCCAACAACTAGATTGTAATAAACTTGGTAAGGGGAGTGACAACGATTAGGATATGCACAGTGGCATCAGGCTGACCTGAATTTGGATCATAGCTCCCCATCTACTAGTTTTGTAATTTGGGACATGTTATTTCCTTTCTGTAAACCTCACTTTTTTTTCAGTTTCTTTCTCTTTTTTTGGCCATGCCATGGGACATGTGGGATCTTAGTTCCCTAACCAGGGATCGAACCCACGCCGCCTGCATTGGAAGCCCCAAGGTCTTAACTACTGGACTGCCAGGGAAGTCCCAAACCTCACTTTTTTGACTGCGAAGTAGAGACAATATCTCATATCATTGTGCAAATTAAATGAGATGACGAATAGATATAGCACAGTGCTTGGCAAAATAATTGCTCAATTAATGTTAATTTCCTGCTTTAGTGAAATTGTTTATTGAATGAACTATTGAAGTACTAGTATCTTTAATGTGTAAAATGAAATGAGAGAAGCATCTCTTTGGATTTTTGAGTTAGGAATGGAGATGCTCTCTTTAAGATATTTGGAAAACAATGACTTTTTTTTTTTTTCAAACCAAATTGAGCAATAGCTTCAATCCCTTCTAAAGTCATCCTGTCTAATATGAGAAGACAGTAACAGGTGTCTCTG